ATGCTCTCCACGACTCTTCTCCCTAAACCAGATTCGCACGCTCCCTAAACCAGATTCGCACGCTCTCCACTACTCTTGTCGTATGCTCTCCACGACTCTTCTCCCTAAACCATTATCGCACTCTGCCAAAAGTCTGTTCTCTCTATCACATGCTCTCTATCCGGTTCTCTCTACCTCAGGCGACTTATAAATGATCTCCCTCAATCGCCCTGCATCTCTCGCTCGCTTTGCATCTCTCGCTCTATCTCTGCATCTCTTCATTCTTCGCCCCTGGTACGATTTCATTCTTGATTTTATTCAAGGTTGCTTTGGGTTTTAGGGTTTAATTTAGGGTTTAATTTTTCCCCTTTGTTTTGGGTTTGAGGGCTTGAAGCAATACAACGGTTTGGTCTAAAGTAATACAATGGTTTGAGGGCTTGAAGCGAAACTCTGGTAAGCATTACTTCTATTGATGATATATGGCACAATACTCCATTACAGCTCTATCATCATCTAATTCTTAACACTGTTTTGCATAACATTAATAGATGATTGTCAATGCAGCTTCTCTACCTGTGCAGTAGCACAAGGCATCAGGTTGATTAGCATCATTGCTTTGTTAGTCACTCTTGAGGTAAATAATATAAAGCAACAAATATATTTTTGTTAGAGGGTACTTGGTTGGGGTAACAGGGGGTGGGGAATGGAAATTGAAATAATTAATGGTGTCTTCTTTGATGCAAGGGAATGAACCATTACCATATACTGGGTAATGAAACATTCCTCAACAAACTTTGAGGGGGTGGTGGGTGAAGTTCATTCTCATTTACATTTCCATTTCCATTTCCTGAAAAGAACCAACTACTCCCTTAGAGCTTATTGGATATTGCTGTTATATTTAACCGGTAAAAGCAACCTGCGATTTTGAGTTATGTGCTTCACAGAGTCCTGCCAACAACAATCCCTATATGTGTATGGTTGCCAAGGTGTGTATGGTTGTTTGCTTATTTAAATTTGAGTGTGCCAAAACGAAGTAGAATAGGTAGTAAATCAGAAAATCGGATACATGATACAACAGCAAATCAGAAAATCATGAACACAAAAGACCATTTGGACAATCTGTTTAAAAGACCATTTTCCAAAAAGCCACTATATGTCCAAACAGTAACAAATCCACCCTACTGTTTGCATTCTCTATTGTTTGTAATATGTTCCTATAGAAGTGAGTATTTCTTGGTGCTTTGGATGTTAGAAGTTATTTTGAAGTGAGTATTTGTTGGTGCTTTTTCTTAAAACATAATATCCAAACCTAGAGTTATTTTGAAATGATAAAAACCTGCTATAATGATAAAAAATTAGAACATGTTGTACAAAAAGAACCTGCTGCTGCTGTAATGCATACAGAGGTCTAAGAAGTTATGTTGTAACTCCATAACCTGTTGAACTACTGCTTACAGTATGTGCTTAACTTTATATACAACCTGACTTTATAACCTGTTACATGTGTCTATGTGTGTATATATATATATATATATATATATACTTCTCTTGATGTGTGTGTGTGTGCATATGTATTTATACTATTCCTAGGGCCACATAAGACCTCCCATCCTCAGGCCAATAAGATATGCACTTCACATGTAAAAACTAAAAAGAGCAGACAATGATTACAAAAAACCATGTTCTTGTTTTAAAACCTCATCAATTTTTGTATATTCCATTCTTCTAATTCTCAGGCACATGGTGCTTTTAAACTATAAACCCACACATGCTTTTCGCACATGCACACACCCACACATGCTTTTTGTATATTCCATTCTTTTGTTTCTTACACACACACCCACACATGCTTTTCTTACATGCACACTTGTTGTAGCAGGTTTTTGCAACCACAAGTATTGAAAAATAGAAAAATGTAAGTACAAATGTTGTAGGCTTTATGACATCTTGAAAGACTTTGATATCTCAAAATTGAATAGATTTTAATGAACTTTTACATCCCGCCGCATTGCGCGAGTACACAACTAGTAATATATAATGTGTGTGGATGCATTCACGAATATATATATATATATATATATTTAAAAAATATATGTATAAAATAATTATATAATATAACTTAAATTATTAATATATAAAAGATAATATCTATATTACCTTAATATACATTACATCAAAGTCTCAATTACAACACAACAAGCATGGAGTACTGCTTTTTAAAGCATAAAAACTAAAAATCTCTTAATTATTGATTATGATGCATTAGGTACAAGTCATTGATGCAAGCTTTTTGAATTCTCAACCAACAAATATGGTCAACACCAATGTTTCTCTCTTTTAAAAAAGTATTTCCTTCCTTTTTCAGCTTTATCTATCTCCAAGGTTTATCAATAAAATATATAGTTTATGTTTTCAAAGATATTTCAACCTCAGACTTTCCTCAAGTTGAATCAAATTCAATAAAAAATTTCTTTTTCTTCCTTTTAAATGCATACTCTTTGTAAGTTAAATGAAGAGGAATTCGAGAAAAGTTTGGAAACACGTTATAAGTCGAGTTTTACTTTTGTTAAAAGCTCGTAAGATTGAATTAAAGCTCCACAATAAGATAAAATAATATNTATATATATATATATAAGATATGTATATTAATATATAAATTAATAATAATAATGATAATAATAAAATATATTATTTGATTGATTTTTACATTTTATATTTTTAATAATATTTAATTTCCAAAGCATTTGACACCGGAAGGGTATTATTAGTCTTTCCCCATTTAGTTATAACCTACGTTGATTGAAATTATTATGAAATATGAAGTTTGTTAGGGTGCGTTTGGTATGCAGACTGGACGGGAGGGGACGGGAAAAAAAAATAGTCGCATGTTTGGCATGCCATGGACAAAAATTACATGGGACAAGATGAGACTATTTTTAAATTTGATGGGACAAAAGTTGATAATTTTTGTTCCACCAAAAAAGGTGGAACAACATGGGACTAAATGCAAATTTACTACTTTACCCTTAAACCCAATAGAAAACCTAACCCCTCCTTTGCCCTCGTCTCTTTCACGCCCACACCAGTTCCACTACCACCTCGCATCCTTCCACCGTCTCCTTCCACTGCCTCCTTCCACGCCGTCTCCTTCCACCGGCTCCACCGCCGCCTTCCACCGGCTCCACCGCCTTCCACCGGCTCCACCGCCTCCTTCCACCGGTATGATTTCTCTTTTGGCATCAATTTCTTTTTGCTGTATCGATTTCATTTGCGTCGATTTGTTTTTGCTGTATCGATTTCTCTTTTGCTGGTAAACCCTAACAAAATCCCCTCTGGGTCGATTTCTGTTGGCATCGATTTCTGTCCGCATCGATTTCTTTTGGCATCGATTTCTTTTGGTAGATTGTGGGTAGAATATGTGTGATATGAAACTGTTTATCACACTCTTTTTCTAATATAACTGTGGGTAAATGCTAATGCTAATGCTTTGTTTCTAATCAGCCTCTGTTTCTAATGTGAAACTTTGTAATTGCCTATGCTCATGAATCCTTATTTCTTGCTTTTCTAATATACTAATGATTAACTTGTGCAATACATGCATATTCCCTAATTTTAATGCTTTTGTTCCACCAAATACTTCTCCTTCCTTCATTTCTTCAAGTGAAGGAGAAGAAACAAGTAAAAAGAGAAAAAGGACAACCGAGTTATCAAAGATGGTGGAAGCAACTAAGAATTCGATCGATAACGCAACCACCCAAATGAAAATGATATATTCGGTCATTTCGGATTCTACACCCGCCATGGATGGTTTGAGAGAAGAGTTGAGAGAACTTGGGCTTGGGGTGATTGAAATCATTCAAATGGGTAAGTACTTTGCGGACAAACTATCTCAATATCGGTTTTGGAAGAGTTTGGATGATTATATGAGAATAGAATTTGTGAAGTCAATTTACGATGAGATCAAGTAATGTGTCTTAGAGGATGATGAAAACGATGGTCCTTTTGGTAGATTTTTTGTACATTTGACATATTTTAGGAGATGATGAAAACGATTGTCCTTTTGTGATATT